GAAAGAAATGCGAACATTAGTGACTTGTAGTGTAACCATAGAGTTCTAGATAATATTTGTCATTTAAACGGGTCCGGGTAGTCCTGTGGGTACCCGTCCCAGCCCTAATTTTAGCCTAATCACTCACTTACACACGTGCACCATGATTGTTATTTTGGGGGTGGTGTAATCTGTTCACCATCCAGAAGACACAAAGTCTTTGCCAAGGACCTCAATGCGGGAGAAGCGGCTTTGTCATGCGCCGTATTCTGCCAGACAATCCCCGTAGATTACCGTAAAGGCTCGTTGATCAGCATCCCTGTATGGTACTTTCTTGTCAACCTACAATGCTTAACGTAAAAAGCTATCTCCCTGACCACACTTAATGGTTAAGCATCAGTCATCGACTTAATACGTATCCTAAATGTCCCGTCTGTCAAGAGTTAGAGCGTTTTTCTCTCGTCAACTGGGGCCATTTTAACGATGGCTGACATGGCTACAAGACGGAACCCTGGGTAATCCCCGTAAGAAGCTCGTTGGATGCGCCATCTATGAGAGACGGGAAGCCGGGCCGTAACTTCATTAGTTCAATACCAGCAAGATGCTTTATACGTGGAATCATTTGATTAACCAAATATAGTGGTCTTAATAACGCTCGCCTCCCGACTGGGACTTGTTGATTAGACAAAGAAGCCGTTTTTTGCCGAGTCTACCACCTTTGTAATCCCACCACACGTGGCTTTGAAACTCCATTGGGAATGACCAGGTTAAGCGCGACAAAGCAAGTCATTTGCTAAACGAGTAATATAATAATCTCTGGTATCGATCGGAGGTACCATTCATATTTCATCCCGCTTATTCATTGCGGACGAATCCAACGACGATATTTGTCACTCCCCCCCCCCCCCCCCCCCCCCCCCCCATTCTTCTGTTCATAAGAGTATACAGGCGTGTAATTGATGCGATGGCGAACAACAGATGCAAATGAACGCCTGGCGTCCTAGATATACTTTGTTACGTTAACAGTTGAGTTTCACCTTGGCACGTTGTGACGGTGCGATCACCGTCATGTTGGGTCTGTTTGCGAAATCTGGTGTGTAGCTGGTTGTATAGTTGTAATAAGTAAGAGGAAACTTAAATGAATTTTGTCAAAAGTCGTGTCATTCAAATCATATCCCTAATGGACATCATTGGTTAAAGACATGGAAAAGAAGGGAAAATGTCAACACCAGCTATAAATAATAATAATAATAATAATAATAATAATAATAATAATAATAATAATAATAGAATGAACTCTTACAGACGTGCGTATTATTATTATTTTAAATTTATCATTATTATTTTATCACCATCATCATCATTGAAAAAGCTCATTACAAATTTATATATTATTATCGTCGTCATTAATATTATTTTTTATTATGCACAAAACAAGTGTGCATCGTTGTTGTTATTATTATTATTATTATTATTATTATTATTATTATTCGGAAACCAACGACATATGTAATCAACTTCATCATTCAAATATGCGCAAAGACAACACTATATCACAACGTTCTTTTGAAGTTCTCTTCCACCCATTGCCCATTTGGACGTCAGATATTCTCATCTTCACGACAAGTCGTTAATATGGCGATAAAAATAAATTCTGGTGTGACTTTTATGTTCCCTGTATTCCCACGGGAGTGATAGAGACGCAACTGGACGCTGCAGCTGTTACCGAAACGTCGCTGTCAACACCCCAGCTTTATCAAACGCGCCTCCTTACCGATTTCTCAAACAATCGTGGCACTCAAGGAGTTTCCGTCTCGATGACAATACTGATTCCATTCTTCTTTTATTTGTTGTTTTGCAATTCCTTTGTTTAATTCCATATGACCTCCCGCGGCTTATCAGCGTTGCTATGTGATGCGCGTTGTCTACACACAGAGGTACACCATCGCTTGGAGTTAACACGTCAACACTCCCTAAGAACGCTCAGAGATAAGCCGAAGTTCTGACTTTTTGCCATTTGTCAAATTCGGAAGCTTTCATGGACATTTGGCCCTCTAAAACGTGACTGAGTAATTGTAAAATGAGGTGTACCGCTTCCGTATAACAGTTAATGTCATTTTGGACATCAACGAGTCGATGGCGAATCAAGAGATCAAGTATTTAAGTTGTTTTGCGTATATATAGGATAACCGAGCAGGAATTCTGCGAAGCATTAAAAGGATTTAGCAAGTATTAAAAACTATATTAGAAAATGGAAATTTTGATATTTAAAAGCATTTCTTTGAAGAATGTTCCAACAAATAACCATATGAAAAATCTCTGCACCTTTACGAGATAGTTCAAAATACCTAATGGCGTATAAAGAAATTAAAGGAATTCGTAAAAATGACTTTGGTACGAATTCTCAAAGGACATTAATATGTTTTTCAAACAAGCATCATATTCATTGAAATCAGTCCAAAATATTCATTTGTTTGTTAGTTTGTTTGTTGTTTAACGCTACACTCAGCAATATTACCTGTCAGTTATATGACGGTGGTCTGTAAACAATCGAGTCTGGGCCTGACAATCAAGTGAATGACATCATGGTCATCGATATACGCAACTGGGAAAAGATGACATGTATCAACCAAGTCAGCGAATCTGACCACCCGATCCCGTCTGTCGCTTCTTAGAGACAAGCATAGTCGCCTTTTACGGCACGCATGGGTTGCTGAAGACCTATTTAATCTTGAAAAGATAGATAATAAGTAAATACTAAACGTTGGACGTAACATACATGTATATATTGTCAGTACACTTGCGCTTAGTCTCTCAAAATATATAATTTTGATAGAAACAAACAAATGTATTTAAATGGAAAAGGAGCCCCAGTGAGATAGAAACGTGTCGAAAATCTAGACTTGCTTCAGTTAAGGTCATAACATTACAGTAAGGGCCGGTCGGAAGGGAAAATAATATGGTTCATGGACTATTGGACAGACTAAGATTGCCAGGTGCGAGGTGGATTGTGTAATATCTCATTGGAAATCTAGTCAGGCAGTACTATACATACTCAAGCTATTTATTTGTTAGTTGTTTACAGTCGTACTCTGCAATATTCCAGCTATATCACGACAGCTTGTAAAATATCGTGTGGTCGATGTAATGAGCATCGTGCTTTTCAAGGTTCTTTGACAACGCCCTACCACTGATGTTTTCTGGGTTTTGACTGGTGTAGAAATGAATCCCTCTATTTTTTAGGACGGCCTGAAAAAGTTTATGAACAAATGCGATGCCTTTGACTGTCTGTTATCAAGGTGGGACGTCCCAAGGGGGTTCCGTGCTGTCGACTCCTGGCCCAGGACGCCAGCACTAAAACACACACGCCGTACATTGCTTGTATTATCCGCATCATAAAAAAGTTTAGATATTTAATAATTACAAGGCATATATACATTTATCTATAGCTCATAAATCCAGAGATTTGTTCAAAGGAACTCAGTGTCCGTTTTCGACAAAACCAAACAACCGTTGAATTGCTCTATAGCTTATTGGTTGTCGTTATGTTTTGAAACCAACGCAATAGTGTTTTGGCTTGTGCGTTCAAAACACATTAATCTTTGCTGACACTTAAACTATTCTCGATCCAATAAACAAGTCAAAAAGATCAAAAAGTACCATTTGGTACGCTTCTTCACATTGATGCATGTTCAATTTACATAGTTTTTTTCACTACGTTTTGTCGGAAACGGTTGTAGTCGCATGTTTTTTTGAAAATAGGAAATGACATTTTATGGTTTGCCCAGAAGCACGAGATGTCATCGGGATAAAGGTCATGAGGTCAAAACTAAGAGGTCACGACTATGAGGTCAAGGCTATGAGGTCACGGATTTTAATTATTTTAATATATATGTCACACGGTACATCTAGACATTATGTGCAATAAAAACCTTTATTACCTACGAGGGAAAACATATCGGGGTTCATAAAAATCATTTGAGCCCTAGGGTCATATCACGCCACGAGACAACAGTGTATTGTTTCCATCATGCGGACGGCATTGTTGACGTCATTCGAATGTTATTGTGGCGTGAGGTAGGAATGACGTCACACTAGAAACGACGTCATAGCTGAAGATTGTTGACGTCTTTCGACAAATTGTGGTTCTGCTGCTGTTGTGACCTGATGTCCTTATAGGTAAACACTAAAATCGCCTCTGTATTTAGACTCCTTCTTCGTGAATAAATAGAACATTATATGATTGTTCATGTCATACTATGTTTACGACACGAGTGTCTAAATTCTGGTATTTCTGGCTCTCGCTCGGGAAATACCAGAATTTAGACACTCGTGTCGAAAACATAGTATGACATGAACACTCATATAATATCATCTACACCTCAGTATAAAATACAATTGCAAACACAAACATCTGATAAAGGAAAGGAGCTGACCAAATGGATCGGTGTCTTGGTTGATGACGTGTCATCGTACCCCGACGGCGTGGATCGCTGCTCACAATATCGATCACTGGATTGTACATTATTATACATATATGACAGATGAAATACGCCTACGCCAGCCTTGGGTTTCTTCATATCCCGAAGGTACGGGGCATATCGCATTATATCAGTGGGGGCACGGGTGGCACAGTCGTCTAAGGCGCCGCAATGCGTTTTGCAGAGTTGCGTCCCTTGTGCCCGCCAGAAACCTTTGATCGTGGGTTCTAATCCGAGTTCTCCCAGATTATGTGTCTAGGTTTGTCCGCATCACACCAATGCTCGAGGGATTCATCAAAGTGGTAAGAGACCTGCATCACTTCGGGCTTCCCTCCCACATAAAGCTGACACGCCGTAATATAACTGGAACACTGTTCAAAGCGGCGCTAAAAGCACTCATAATATCAATCACTGGTTTGTCTGGTTCAGACTCGACTATTAACAGACCGCCGCCATATAGCTGAATATGACAGATTGAGCGATAAACAAGAAACAGACAAACAAACAAACAAACAAACACTGCAAGAAGACAATACTCACAGGGAACTCTGAATATTAGCGTCCAACTGGTCCATCGAGTGTTGTAGACTGGACACATCTCGTAGCAGTTGTTCCAGCTTGTTTATTACGACCCTGAAACCCAAGACACTAAGGTACAAATCATATCATCAAACAGCTACACTTATACTAACGTTTAAGACAATCAAGTCATGTTTTATTCTGAAAGTCATCGTGTCAAGTAATTCATCAAGATGTATGGCATGCTATCTGGATAGACACAATGCCACAGAAAAAAGCTGGTTATCTCCCCTTTACCGACAGGTGTCTCTGCTTTCGGCCGCCATTACGGGTGTGCAAGTTGTTTGTCCCGCGTAACTGTCAAAGTTCAAGTTTAACCATGCTTTACGGACGTGTTTGAGGCTCGTTGCGTCACCTGATCGTGGTATAATAGTCCCATGAATTTTATATCAGTGGTGTAGAAGGCGCCGCAATTTGTGTGCAGTGTTTCGCCCCTTTGTAATACCAGGATCCAATCCCCGTAGTTTTGAATCCCTGATTATAATTTTAGGGTTTGTCAGCACCATTAACGTGGGTTTCAGCAGAGGGATAACCGTCTAAGATCTGCACCACTTGAGCTATGATCTATTGCGAAGCTGTATTAGATTATTTAATGGAAAATAGAAGCATTTACACTCAGATTAGCTTAAGACTGACAGAAAGAATCTTTACCGCATCAAATGACTGATTCCTACTTCTGCAAACTGAAATGTTGTAATCTATAATCGTAATATTGCATGAGAAGTGGTGGTTTTATGATTCTTCTCCTCGCGAATGGGGGCGGATGTCAAGGTTCTGATCCCAGGTTCTGTTCGCCATCAAGTCTGTCACCATTTATCTCTATTTAATACCATTGAAATGGTTGAACAATAAAACCGTCATCGTTCAATTTATTAAAAAAAATTCTGAGCCAGTGAAGTGGAGTGGGGTCAAGGACTTTTCTCACCAACTAGATCTAACAGGCGCAGATTAGGAGAGAGAGAGAGAGAGAGAGAGAGAGAGAGAGAGAGAGAGAGAGAGAGAGAGAGAGAGAGAGAGAGAGAGAGAGAGATCTTTTATGACAGAGAGAGAGAGAGAGAGAGAGAGATCCCTTTGGTGGAATGCATATCCGTATTTTTTTACACTGAGAGAGAGAGAGAGAGAGAGAGAGAGAGAGAGGAGGGTATCCCCATCTATGGTGGAATCATCTTTAATGGACTTGACAACTTTGTGGAAAGGAACCCGGAACTGCGGCGATACGGACAAACACATTACCCACTTTGCTACCCCACCGGCCCCTAGACGGAGAAAAGAACATACGTACTAGTAAAGTTCAAGAGCCGATGTCACGACAACACTGAATCCCACACCAGACCAGTGGAGCAATGATCGTGTTGGAAGCCTCATGACCAGACCATCTGGTATCACAGACACCACGGCTGTGACAACATACACGGTGTGTCTATTAGCGACATCACAATCAGTCTTGTGGGACTTCCTCGATATGTCTCAGTTTATGAGCACTAATCAGTGGTACACCTCATTCCTGATTTGTGCGAAGTTTGGTTGGCATAATCGGAAAGAACTCCCAGGAGTGATCTAATATATATAACTACGACCACCTCTTAATATTGATGTTTACTCATTTTGATTGCTATTTATTTTCTGGGTAGGTCAAGTAAAAATAAAATGTATGCATTTAAAACACAACAACTCATAAATCGTTTTGGCTTGGTTTGTTTAGTCGTAAATATATAATTTTAATACTAATTCTGTTCAAAGTACAGATGTTTGACTTTTACGCTTACATGAATAAGTATTAACTCTTTATTGTCTTTATTGTCTTAACAAATCGTGCTCAAGGATTATATGCAATAAAAAAATAAAATAATAATATTAACAATAATAATAATAAATGTTGAGTTTAAGTTTGATCTTTTAATTTTTTCTCATCCATCTATGACAGAGCGATCGTCCAAGTAAAAACAAATTTATATCCTTTTTTATTTTCTGATTGCATTGTCAACCGAAAATTATAAATCGCGGATTAGATAGGTCAGGAAATGAACATCACTGTGATGCGCTCTTCTTGTAGGTGCTACGGTAGTTTAAACATAGTCTATAAGATGTTGAAAGGATAGGGTAAATATTTACAATTTAGTGAAAGAAGGTGACCAAGGAATAGACGAAATATAAAGAAAATGGAACACAAATCTCCTCGTTCTAGCTACTAACGATTACACTGCTGCAGTGGTCTACGAAACATGCGTTTAGTTAGGCACCGACCATTTGATATTCGGGGTGAGGGTGTGTGGGGAGAATCTGGGTTTTATTCCAGCGTTGTCAAAGAAAATCGATATGGTGCTGAATAACCAAGGACTCTGGATTCGAACAAATGATCAACGGACTGTTACGATTAAGAGACAGCAGACCAACGACCCTTTTCACTTCGTGAGACACGAATTGCGGATCAGTTACAAACATGTGGAGCAGGCGCAGTAAGGTAGGTAAACTGCTCCCACTGTTAGTTCGCGCAGCAGGCTTAGCCTTTCATCCAATAGGCGGCGGTCAAAAACTGTGGTGCCAATCTTACCATATACCGTTATAGGTACCCATGTGTAGCCACCTTAATAACGATTGTAAATAAACACATTACGAAAGTTTATTATGGGTGATAAAATATATAACAAACTTCTCTCCCGATGTTAATTTTGGCGAGAGCAACGTTACTTCATAAACACACTTCACCCAGTCCGCTATGTTTCCATTCGATATCGAGGACCAATGAATGAAATCTTTGGCGTCATCCAATCGCAGCCTTCAAGAAATAGGTCACCACCCCTCAAAATGAATCCCTTTAAAGTACGGTACGTATCAGAAAACACATTCACTCGTATGAGCTTCTTAAATAAAAGACCGCCTCCGTGGTCTAGTGGTGGAGCGTCCGCCCGGAGAGGGGAAGGTCCGGGGTTGGATCCCCTGCCGCGTCAAACCTAAAGACATTAAAAGATGGTACTTATTGTTACCCTGACTGGCGCTCTGCATTAAGGGGCTAAAACAAGGACTGGTCGGCTCTGAGTCAGTATACTGTGTCTCAGTGGGGTATTCATGATAAACTGCAGCATGGATGTCTCAGTGGGCTTGCACTATAAAATCGGCATATAGTCCGCAATAGTACAAGCAGCAACCCCCCCCCCCCCCCCCTCCTCCTCTCCCCCCCCCCCCCCACCCCCCCACCCCCCACCCCACACACACACACATATGCATGCACGTCGCTATATAAGTGCTATAATCTTGGACGCGACGTTAAACCCCCGTTTCACCTCTCTTAAATATAATATTATTGATAGGCAACAATAGGCTGACAAACGATAGGGCGGACTAAATGCTTACCCGACTGTCTCTTCCGACTGGTGTTTGGCTGTTGAGTGTCCATAGTTGAGACAGAGGATGACTGTAGTGAACACGACCAGACTGCTAGCGTCCATCCTCAACCGGCTGCTCTGTAGGGAGAAGGTAGAAGGGTTTAGGGGTCGACCATAGGTCAGTGTGTGGGGTGGGAGATGTAAAAATCAATGTTATGAGACAATATAAAGCGATGAGACGAGAGACGTGACAAGATAATGGAATGAGACAATATAAGGCTTAACTTAACCTGATTTGTAACCCGCAACCCCCCCCCCCCCCCTCCCGAACACACACACAAACATGTTAAAAAAATTCTACAATGTCTTGAAAAAAATATGTTTGCTTGTCCTGTCAGAGAAACAATTTGTATGTCTTGAAGCTACGGAAGCCTTTCGGGCCATTTGTTTTCTAATTTTTTTTCGATACTATCTTGAAATTTGAAGATACTAAGTTGAAATTTTAAGATAATCATCTTAAAAATTCAAGATTATAACTTGAAATTTCAACTTAATATCTTGAAATTTCAAGAAAAAA